GGGGAGGCCCCTCTCCCATCACAGCCTCTCACCTCACCCTGTTCATGTCTGAGCCAGGGGTTCTCAGGCAGGGATGACGATGCGCTTCAATGTACACTGGCAACGTGCGGAGATGTTTTTGGTCATTAACACTGGGACGAGGCTGCAACTGGCATCCAGTGGACAGAGACGTGAGACGCTGCTAAGCATCCTTGTGGTGCCCAGGACAGATCCTCTGCCTCCTTTTTCCCACCAAACGGAATCATCTGGACCTAAACGTCAGTCATGCTGAGGCTGAGAAACCCTGTCGCGTGGGTGCACGGACACTTCTGCTGGCATTTACAGACACCCTGAGGAAGCCATTTTTTAATTTCTTCTCTCTCCAGCCTCCTGAGGGTTGTCGAGGGAAAGTCTGGGTTTAGTGGTGAGTCTTAATGTCCCACAAACTGTTGCTAATTTCCCCTTTTCAACAGAGGGAGCAGCCTCTGGCTCACAGCCCCGAGCAGGCGCCTGAGCTCGCAGGGACTGACGAAGTTGTCTTGATTTCACTGCTGCGTTTTCAAAGCAAACAACTTTGGGTTTTCCGTTTACCAGAGTGATGCACGATTCCTTTTTTGAGGAAACCTGAGAGAAATAGAAAGTGGACCACTTTTAAGACAAACAATTAATCATGGTCACAGCTGAGGTCCCTGGAGCTCTGACTGGATGTCAGGCCTGTTCCGGGCCCTGTTCGTGCTCTGCTCGTTTAACTGCCGCAGCATCACGGCGTTGTCGGTGTGTGGACTTGTGGGATTGTCATTTGTAGTGACGTCTGAGCGACAACATGGAAACGTGAGTGCTGATGAAAGAAGAATTCATTCCAGCTCTTGAGATGAAGGGGCACGCCACCTCACACAGGACCCCGTGGGGCTGCAGCAGTGTTGTCAGCACCAGGCAGGCGAGGACAGGCCACGGACTTCATTGGGGTGTCTGGGGAAAGGAAAGGCAGGGCAGAGTAAACAGTACGGGAATGGCGAATCTGAATGTTCCTGAAGGACTCAGGGCCATTAGGGGCAACCCCAGCGCTGGCGTCACCGCTGAGCTCCACCGCAGATCATCAGGCACTGGACTGTCATACAGAGCACGCAACCTGGATCCCTCCCATGTGCACTTTACACTACGGTTTGCGCCCCTGTGAGAATCTGATGCCACCGCTGATCTGACAGGAAGTGGAGCTCAGGTGGCGATGCGAGTCATGGGGCGCGGCTGTAAATACAGACGAGGCTTCACTTGCTTGCCTGCACCACCCCCTGCTATGCAGCCTGGTTCCTAACAGGCCGTGCACTGGTTACTGGTCTGTGGCCCAGGGGTGGGAGACCACAGCTTTAATGTTTGGAGGCACCTGGGGAGCCCTCCCTCAGGAGTCCCACAACCCTTCAGGTTGGAAACACTTGCCAGCAAACAGCAGACGCTGGATAAAGCAGCAGCAGGCAAAGCACAAGCCTGCCAACAGTGAGCAGCGCCTTCCCAGACAGAACTGTGTGGTGCAGCCATGTAGTGAGCTGACAGTTGTCCACAGACATGACCCTCCAGCCAACGCTGAGTCATGCTGCTGTGTCTACCAGTTGTATTCATTTGTACCCATAGGGTTCAAATGTATAGCAGTGACTTAGTGAAACACTGAGAAGTCAATAGCATTGAAAGAAGAATTTATTATTGACAGCTCTGAGAGAAGAGGGCATGGCACCACATTCAGGGCCTCGTTAAGAAGCACCAGGAAGCAAGAGGGAGGGAAAAGCACAGGCCACGGGCATTATCGGGGTTTCTTCTGGAAAGGCAGGGCAGGGCATGGTCAGTGGTTTAGGATTGGCTAGTGTGAATAATTTTAGTGAGCTTTGGGGTATGGGGCTGCCCCTAGGTCTCTGGCACCTGGTTGTGGGTTGATTTAGGGCAAATACTGCCTTGGGATGTGAAGTTCGATGAAGGAAGTGGTTGTGGGTACGGTTTTGCACTAAGTGGTTCGCACACGAAAGGCACACACTTGTTCCCAGGGGAGCTGTTTCTCATCCTGGGGCTCAGCTGGCCTTGAGATGGGCAGCCTCTCCCAAAGTCTGACAAGCCTTCAAGGTGTTAAAACAGGAAATACAGAAAATTATTTAAAAACGTGATGGATGTACCTGTCCTTGGCAAAGTCAGGGAAGTACGACCATTGTATTGCGTCTGTCGTGAACCTAAACTTAATTCAGTTTAGAAGATTCTCCTTCATTTATGAAGCTACCTTTTGTGGGTTTTTTGTTTTGTTTTGTTTTTGTGAAGTAAAATCCTCTCTTTATGAAATGTTGAATGAGAGTAGATGCTATTGGTATTTCTGTAAATGTCCTTAAGTAACCATATCACCGTGGGATTTTGAGTTTTTAAAATTTTTAATGGTCGACGAAATGCCTTGGTTTGGAGTCACTCAGCCGGCTTCCTGCCCCTGAGGATGGGTCCTCCAGGTCCCGTCCCTGCCTCGTATCACCTACCACTTGCTCTTTGCGATGCTCGTAGTTTCCTTCTTAGCGTAGTGCTTGAGAGGCCGGGATCCCGAGCCAGACCCCTGGTGTCCAGTCCCAGGTCCGCTACTTAAAAACTTGTGGCCTTGGGCAATTTACTGAACTGTCTGAGACCAGGGTGTGTGCAGCGGAGCCCTTGGGATTCCTGCTGCCCCTGATACTGTTGTTGTCATCCTCACACGATTAACACTGTGGTCAAGCGTGGATGCGGCACGTTCTGGGCATTGCTGTGGAGCTTTGTGGTTAACAGCACAGAGAGCAGAGATGCCAACGCCTGGGTTTCCTCACTGGCTCGGCCACTCACCAGTTCTGTGCTCCTCAGGAATCACTGTATCTGCCTGAGCCTGGTTTTCTTCATCTATGAAATAGTGTCGATAGCGACATAGACTTCCTGGGGATGCTGTGAGGAAATCCTCAAGTTGAATCCTCCATTTGGTCCATGGTCTGGAGGAAGGGTGCTATAAACATTGGTTAGGATGTGAAAAAGGACTGGGATCCATGAAGACACATACCTTATTTTGAATGAAATGAGTCAATATTTGAAATATGTCAGTTTTTCTCTAAAGTATTCCATAAATATTGTTCAATTCTGAAATGACATAATGCATTTATATTGCTTGGCACAGTCCCTTGGGAGTGGTTCTATCCTATAAATACTAGTTTTGGACTTGCTGTTAAGAGTAAAGCTTCCATGGCAGCATAGCATGACATGCTCTTGGGTTCCGGGTCATGTTAAGAGCTTTTAGTTTGGGTGGATGGGAGCAGCTTCATTCCAGGGTCTGATCCTCATCCTGAAGTCCCACACTAGATGGAGGGTCTTTATTTCTTTTCATCAAAATCATGTGTCTACTTTCTTTCTCCATGAACAGGTTGTCCCATTCCCAGATCTGAGCTGATCTACCAGCTAGAGCACGGGCAGGAGCCGTGGACAGTAAGGAAAGACCTCTCTCAAGGACTGTGTCCAGGTAGGAGCCAAGGTCTCAGCAACTGGGAGGCTCTGCAGGCCTGAGACTGGGACATCACTGGTCCTGGTATCTCAGGGTAGATTCTTGTTGCGGCCTCTCTAGGAATTGGGGGCCCTGGGGCCCCTTGACCTCTGGTTCCTCTATTCTCCCAGCCCCATCACACATGTCTTCGCCCCCTGGGGAGGAGAGAGATTGATGAACTGAGATCTGTCTTGGGGCTCCAAGTGCGTGGGCCTGAAACCTGGCTTGTCCATCACTGACTCTGTGGCTCTAGCGAAGATACGTGATCTCATGTCTTTGAATATATTTTCAGCTAAGTTAACACTAGCTGCTGCCACAGACAAACTCCAAAATCTAAGTAGTTCAGCATAGGAAAAGGCCCTTTCTTACTCTCCCAATTTCTCTCTCTAGCTATATCCTGCCTACCACCCTTTTCCTCTTTGTCCATCAGCCCATTCTCTGAGTGCCGGGCAGACACCGAAGCAGTTCTTGCTCATGTCTTCCTGCGTCTTCTGTCTTGTAGAATCCCTAGGTGACATTTGACCTTCTCTGTCTCACATCTGGACTGCTGAGGGCACCGAGGCTGTCGTGTGTGTTGGTTGGTGCCCTTGCAGAGTCACGATCTCTCTTGGGTCGGTCCACGGAGCCAGCCTGTGTCTTTGTGCCATCTCTCTCCAGCTCTTCAGAGTCTGTTCCAAACCTTCTCCCTTCTTCAATTCCACATCTCCACTTTTGTATCTCAAGGGCACCTAAACTCTCAGGCTGAACGAGAAACTCGTGATCTTGCTCACTTCTTCCACCTCACAGATTATTGAACAGTCCTGCCATCCACGCAGGGTAGAAGACTGGATCCAGCCTGAGACGACTCATCAACACTTCAGTCCCTACATCCAGCCATCCTCAAATCCTATCCATTTTACATCATGCACGTCTTGTGAATTCACCCCCTCCGCCACCTTCTTCAAATCTGTCCCCGTACTTTATTCCAAGGTTTCATCATCTCTTTCCTAGGGGATTTTAATAGACTCCAAACAGCTCTATCTGCATCTGCTTTGTGCCTCTGGTCTGCTCTGTGTCCTGCATGAGGTCTGGCACTCAGGCCTTGTTCCAAACAATTAGCACTTCCCCATCCACCAGTGTCTCACCACGCGCATGTCAGCAAGTTTTCACATTGGAAACAAAGTCCTTGTATTGCTCGGACATCAGCCCTCACGTGGTCATCTCAACCTCTCATAATGTGTAACTTCTGTCCCCAGGGGAAGAGGTGTTGTCCTTGGCCATGGCTAATTCCTTCCCCAGAGTCCAGATCACACCTCTTCATGGACATTCTTTCTTCACTTATATTCTGCTTGTTTTGTAAATTCTTTCTCAATATAAAAATATGCTCAAGTTCCTTACACTTGAAGAAAATGAAATAAATACTCATGGCTCACAATGTATTCATATGTTTATTCACATTCTGTGCACTTAATTGTTTACATTCTTTCTCATATAAATAGTGATGCTATGGACATTCATGAATATTCATCTTTCACATACGTAGGGGCATTTTTTCATAGTATTTCTTGGAGTGAAATTACTGGGTTATAGGCTGTGCAGATGTTCAAGTTTGCAGGGTCATTTCCATTGTTTTCTAAATGGGCCTCTGCCAGTTTCCATTCCTCCAGGAATGTACGGGAGGTCCCATTGATCCGTGTCTTATCCAATATTCGATACTATAAGGCTCCTTAATGTTTGATGATCAAATCCACACAAAATAAGATATCTTGTGTTCTTATTTGCGTTTTCCTCATTGCTAAGGCTTAGTATCTTATAGGATTTTTGGCCAATTTGTATTTCTTCTGTGAAATGTCATTTCATGATAATTGCCTGTTTTTCTGTTAACTTGTTTGCTTTTCTCTTTTTGGTTTTGTTTTTGTGCATTTCAGATACCTACCTTTTATTAGTTATATTTGCTTCAAGTATATTCTTCTAGTTTTTAAAAATTAAAAAGAAAGTCTTTATTCTCTGGAGTATCTTTTGTTGAATAGAGGTTTTTATTTTGGTGGTCTGGTCTATGACTTTTCTTATAGGATTAGTGATTCTGTGTTTTATATAAAAATGTTGCTTTACTCCAATATCGAAAAGATATTCTTATTTATTTTATTCTAAGTTTTAAAACTTGGCATTTTACATGTAAGTCGTTATCAACCTGAACTTGATTTTCTGTATAGAATGTGATAGAGTATAGTTATTTTCATTCTACTTGTGGGTAGCCACTTTTTCTTAACTTGTTTCCTTAATAGTCTCCTTTTTACCACTGAGCTGCTGTTCCTCCCCTGCCATCTACCAAACCTCCATCTGTGCGAGTGGATGTGTGAGTTCACCATTCATTTTTTATTGCCGTTTGGCATTGAATGCAAATACAGATCTCTGTGCCAGTACCACTCTGCCTTGTGAGCCCTGTCCCACGACTGGCGCTGCTCATCCGCTCTGTTACCTAGGTCAGAATCTCAGCAATCAGCTCCCTCTACCCTCGTCTTTCCCTACATCCTCATCAACGCCATCCTTAGTTCTTTGTACATTCTGTCCCCTAGGGCCACAGTGCTCTTTGTACTCTCTCTCTGTCGCAAGTCCTGTGCGGTCAGTAAGTCTGTCTTCATTGGGTATCTCCTCCTGGAAAACTCCCCTGATTTCTCTCTACCCAGGGTTAGCCAAACTCAAGGTTAAGAACACAGTTTTGCAAGACTGCGAAGTCTAGCCAGATCCTCTAACTCCAACTGCAAGTTCGGGAATTTCCCAAAAGTACCCTCAATTTTCATAATTTGTTAAACTTCCTAAAACCTATTACGCTCACAGTTATGTTAACTGCAGACAAAGGATACATATCACAAGAGACATGGAACGTGGGGCTGAAGGGGTTCCAAACACAAAGCTTCCATGTCCTCAGGGACTCGTTATCCATCCAGCATCGGTCTGTGGCGATACGTGCACAACGTGTTGCCGACCCAGGAAACTCATCGGAGCGCTGATAATTCAGTTTCGTTGAGCTCCGTTACGTAAGCACTATTGATTGAATCACTGCCCGTGTGACTCAGTCTCCAGCCCCCATCCCTATTCAGAGGTTCAGTGGCTATCTTGTGGCTCAGAGCCCTAATCTACTCACTAGTTGATCTTCCTGGTGAGGCTACCCCTTAACCAGAATCATCTCTTTAGAACAAACTACCTAGGGGCCTATAATGAGTTACCTTTGTGTAAATATTCCATCTGGAATTGAGGGGGTATCTCCACTCTAGACCCTGTCTCCTTACCCAGCCTCTCTACCTGGTCTCACTTTCAAGGAGTCAAGAATCCAAAGACCAGAAAGAAAGAAATTACAAATCTGGAGTTCAGAGATTGCAAAACATAGCAGATATTAAGGCACTATTTACAACTTCATTTTTTTCACTGAAACAGTGATTTTGTTTCTTCTATTTTGACGTTACTAACAGACCCTTCTGTTTGTTGGATTTCTTTCAGATGACAAAGGAAAACCCAAGACTCCGGAACCTACCACTTGTGAGCCAGCCTTGTCTGAGGGAGTCTCACTCTGGGGACAACTCACAGAAGGAGCATCAGGGGAACTCCAGCTGGGGCAAGCCAAGGATCCAAACGGGCCATGTGAAATGCAGGGAGGACACTGGAGAACAGGGGTAGATGCCCAAAAGGAGAAGCTTCCTGGGGAAACGAGCTCTGGACATGATAATTTAGGGACAGCTGATGGTATGTGTTCAAGGACTGTGCAGGAGCAAGCCTGTTTAGGAGATGCTGTCTATGCCCGTGACTCACATGGATCAGGTAAAGAGCCCATGCTTCAGGAAGAGGAAAATGTCTTTAGATGCAATGAATGTGGAAAAGTGTTTAACAAGAAATGCCTGCTTGCACGGCATGAGAGAATTCACTCTGGAGTGAAACCCTATGAATGCACAGAATGTGGGAAGACCTTTAGCAAGAGCACATACCTCCTTCAACACCACATGGTCCACACTGGGGAGAAGCCCTACAAGTGCATGGAGTGTGGAAAGGCCTTCAACCGCAAGTCACATCTTACTCAGCACCAGCGGATTCACAGTGGAGAGAAGCCTTACAAGTGCAGTGAATGTGGAAAGGCCTTCACCCACCGCTCCACTTTTGTCTTGCATAATAGAAGCCACACTGGAGAAAAACCCTTTGTGTGCAAAGAATGTGGCAAAGCCTTTCGAGATAGACCAGGTTTCATTCGACACTATATCATCCACAGCGGTGAGAATCCCTATGAGTGCTTCGAGTGTGGCAAGGTCTTCAAACATAGGTCATACCTCATGTGGCACCAGCAGACTCACACTGGAGAGAAGCCCTATGAGTGCAGTGAGTGTGGGAAAGCCTTTTGCGAGAGCGCAGCCCTGATTCACCACTATGTCATCCACACCGGGGAGAAGCCCTTCGAGTGCCTCGAGTGTGGGAAGGCCTTCAACCACAGGTCGTACCTCAAGAGGCACCAGCGGATTCACACTGGGGAGAAGCCTTACGTGTGCAGTGAATGTGGAAAGGCCTTCACCCACTGCTCTACTTTTATCCTGCATAAAAGGGCCCACACTGGAGAAAAACCTTTCGAGTGCAAAGAATGTGGAAAAGCCTTTAGCAATAGGGCAGACCTCATTCGCCACTTCAGCATCCACACTGGAGAGAAGCCCTACGAGTGCATGGAGTGTGGGAAGGCCTTCAACCGCAGGTCAGGCCTCACCAGGCACCAGCGGATTCACAGTGGAGAGAAGCCCTATGAATGCATCGAGTGTGGGAAAACCTTTTGCTGGAGCACAAACCTCATTCGACACTCGATCATCCACACTGGAGAGAAGCCGTACGAGTGCAGTGAATGTGGAAAGGCCTTCAGTCGCAGCTCATCCCTCACTCAGCATCAAAGGATGCACACGGGCCGAAACCCTGTCGGTGTAACGGATGTGGGAAGACCTTTTACAAGTGGGCAAACCTCAGTCAACATCCAAGAACTTTTACTGGGGAAGAACTTTCTGAATGTAACCACTGAGGAAAATCTTTTGCGGGAAGGAACATCTTACATAGGATCAGATCGTGCATACCAAAGAGAAACCCCACAAGTGTCTTCACTGTGAGAAAGCCTGTTGCAGAATATCACTTGTCACCTAAGGAGTCATATTAGAAATTCAGCCAGTTTAGAGCCTTACTCTCCATCTAAGAATTCACCCAGGAGAAAGATCCAGGGGTTATCTGTGCACTTAGGAAAATCTTTAGCTACTCCTAGTTTACAGTGCAATGTTATCTCAGGAATTTTTACAAAAAGAAGGAGGTGACAGAGAAAAGAAAAAGAAATACAAGCACTGCTTCTTTCCTACTACTCTTGTATATACAGTCATTGCTATCCAGCGTCAGGAAAGTTAGACGGTTGAGGGCCAGTCTAGCATCTTAGCGAATGTTGTCTTTGTTCCACAACATGTCTCTATCCTTGAGGAGCATACTCTTTTTGAAAAATATGAAGGCTTGAGTTACGAAATACTTTAAAGAGATAGGGAAACACATATGAATGGACACATTTTATTACACCACTTAAGACTGTTTAGGTCTTTACTTTTTAAAAAACCCTTTTTTTAATTTGGTTCTTAACACCTAACACTCAGAATTTTTTTCCATTCCCATCTGTTGGTGTACTTGATTGCTATAGCTATACGGTAAATCTCAAAATTGGGTAACGTGATTTTTTTCTCTTTATGCTTTTTATTTAAAGTGATTTAGCATTCCTAGTTCTTTGAGCTTTCCATATATACTCTGGGATTAGTTTTTCTGTTTTTACAAAAAATTCTTGCTTGGATTTTGATAGAAATTAGGTTAAATCTGTAGATCAGTATGTCAAGAATCAGCATCTTTATACTATGTTGAATCTTCCAATTCATGAACATGGCATAACTTTTTATTTATTTAAGTATTCCTTGATATATTTCATTACTGTTTTATAATTTACACACTATAGCTCCTGTACATTTTTCATATGATTTACACGTTCATATCTTTTTTAGTGATTGGAAATGGCATTGATAGTTAAACATTCAGTTTCTACATGATGTTTGGTAGTATTCAGAAATATTATTTTTTGGACCTTGTTTTGCTATCCTGCTACCTTGCTGAACTCAGTTATTATTTCTAGCCATTTCTTTTGGGAGAATTCTTATGATTTTAAACATAGAGATGTCATCTGCAAATAGGGACAGTTTTATTTCTTGTTTCCCGTCTGTATACCTTTTATTTTCTTTTCTTGTGTTATTGCAGTAGATAGGAATTCCAGTATGATGTTGAATAGAAATAGTGAGAAGTCATCCATGCCTTGTTCCTGATATTAGGGGGGAAATGTTCAATTTCTCATTAATATGATATAAGTTTTTGCATAGAGTTTCTTTATCAAGTTTAGAAAATTTCACTCTGGTCCTAATTTGCTGATATTTTTGTTATTATTAATGAGTATTGGATTTTGTCAAATGCTTTTTCTCCATCAATTGATGTAGGATGTTACTTCTATAGTCTGTTGATACGATGTATTGAACCAGCCTCACATCCTTGGGCTAAGTTCTGCTTGGTCATGGAGTATAATTTTGTTTATGTATTTTGTTGAGGAAGTTTTCCTCTAATTTCATAAGTGATAATGATCTGTAGTTTTCTTCCATTTTCTTTGAACTGTTATTATCCGGTTTGATGTCTAAGTGATACCAGCCTCCCAACATGAATTGGAAGGAGTTCTCTTCTCTTCTGTTTTTTGGAAGACAGTGTGTAGAATTGGTGTTATTTGCTCTTTTAATGTTTGGCAGCATTCTCCAGTGAACCATTTGGGCCTAGAGATTTTTCTTTGGGATGATTTTTAATTATGTATTTATTTATTTAATAGATAGAGAACTATTCAGAGTATTTCATATTGGATGACCTTTTACAGTTCTTTTCAAAGAATTGTTCCATTTTATGTAAATTTTCTAATTTGTTTGTAGCATTGTTTGAAATATTCCCTTATCCTCTTGATGGCAGCAGGATCTGTACTTATGTCTCTTGTTGTATTTTTAATATTGGAAATATATCCATTTTCTTTTTAAATTTTTTAGACATTTATCAATTTTGTTGCTCATTTCAACAGAATTGATATAAAGAACCAGCACTTTATATCACTGATTTTTCCCCACATTTCTGTTCTTAATGTCACTGATTTCTGCTCTGATCTACATGTATTATATTTTTTCCACTTGCTTTAGTTATTTTTGACTCTTAGTAATTTCTTGAGGTGAGTGTTTAAATTATTGATTTGAGGCTTTTTGCTTTTTTGATGTAAGCTTTAACTTACATAAATTTACCTCACAGCACTAGTAGCTTCATCCTACAAGTTTTAATTATATTTTATTCAATTTGAAACTTCTGGATTCCTTTTGAGACATCCTCTCTAACCTATGTATTTTCTAGTGTTTGGAGTACTTCCTGCTATCTATTTGTTCTGTATTTCTAATTTGTTTCACATTTGATCTTACTATTTAAATTTGTTGATTTTTTTTTTTTTTTTTTTTACGCAGGATATGGCCTATCTAGTATAGCTGCTTGGAAAGACTGCATTCTGCTGTCATTGGATGAAGTTTCTGTAAATGTTTATACAATCCTGTTGGTTTGTGGTGTTATTACGATCTGCTATCCTTGCTGATTTGCTGTCTAGTATTTCTGTTAATTGCTGTGAAGGGGTGTTGAAGTCCTGAACTATAATTGTGGAATTATCTGTTCCTCCTTTAAGTCCCATCAGTTTTTGCTTCACATGATTCAAAGCTCTGTTGTTTAGTACATATACATACAGGTTTGCTAAGTCTTCTTGGTATATTGCCCCTTTTATCATTATATAATGTCCTTGTGTGCTCCTGTTAATTCTCTTAGCTCTGAAGTACACTTTATTTGATATTGATATGGTCACTTCTACATTTTTTGGCTAATGTTTGCATGGTTTATATTTTTCATCATTTTATTTTAAACCTTATCTATGTCACTACATTTTAAGTAAATTTCTTATGAACAGGATATACTCAGGTCATGATTTTATATCCATTTTTCATATTTCTGTTCTTTAATTGGTATATGTAGACTATTTAAATTTAAAATAATTATTGATAAGTTAGCACTTATGTCTGCTGTTTCATGATTTGATTTTTTTAAAAATTTCCTGTTTATTCATTTTTGTTTTTGTTTTTTGGTCTTCCTGTAAGTTGAACATTTTTTAGAATTCCATTTGATATATCTGTAGTGTCTTTTTAGTATATCTCTTTGTATTATTAATTTTTTAGTGGTTGCTCTAGATATTACAATGTGCATGTATAACTTATCACAGTTTAATGGTATCAATAATTTAGCACTTTGATGTATAGAAACCTTACTTCTATTAGGTCCCTTTACCTTACCTATTAATATAATTGTCCTAATTCCTCTTCAAAAAATAAGTATTATGTTAGAAGATGTACTTTTTGCTTCATTTGTCAAACATTTTACAGAAAGCATTGTCTGCTTCTTTGCCCATTCCATTTTGTTTTCTTTTTACTTGGAGTCACAAGTCCTCTTCTGTTAACATTTCCTTTCTATTTGGTGAACTTCCTATAGCCTTTCTCCTAGGGTAGTTCCAGTGACAGATGGTCTTTGTTTTTCTTTCTCTAAAACTGGCTTTATGCTCCCTTTATTCCTGAAGAATATCTTTGCGGGATATAAATTTTGAGGTTAGCAGATTTTTTCTTTTGAGAAACATGCTGTTTATTCTGTCTGCCATGGTTTCAGATAAGAATTCTGCTACCATTGTTCCCCAAATTGTTGTTTCCCATTTCATAATGCATTATTTCTCTCAAGCTGTGTTCACAGTATTTTTTATTGTGTATAGTGTTCAGAAGTTTGATTATGATACATAAGGCATGGAATGTTTTGAGTTTATCCTGTTTGCTGTTTGCTCAGCTTTTTGATCTGTAGGTTTTGCCTTTTGCCAAATTTGGGTGATTTTCAACCATTTCTTCAAATACTTTTTCATCCCCATTCTTTCTTCTCTCTTTCTGAAACTCCATTAACATGAATGGTAGATCCACAGATCCCTTATGATCTCATTTCTTTTTCCTTCTTCCAGTCTATTTTCTCTGTTTTTCATATTGATACATTTCTGTTGGCCTTTCTTTAACCTCTATGATTCTCTCCTCTGTCATATCAAATCTACTGTTGAGTTTGTCCAGGAAGTTTTCATTTTCGTTTTTGTGTTTTACAATTCTTTAATTCCCATTTGGTTCTTTTGTACATCTTCTATTTCTTTAGTTTTCTGGTGGTTTGCCTTGATATTTGGATAGAAATCCTAAATTATCTGAAGGAATGGAAGGACCTGTAGTCTTTCCTATTGGGATCCTCAAATATTTTTGTGAACAGGTCTTATAACTGAGGGTGACAGATCATTCAGAGTTGTGTTCTCTAGGGCAAGTTTGTGTGTAAAATTCCCAAGCTCTCTAAGCCTTGTTGTGTTCTCAGAGGAGAAGGATCCATTCTTCTTGTAAGATCACCCCTACCCTTTGTCGTTGGGTACACACACTCCTCCCTGAACCAATTCGTCTAGGCTGTCTTTTGTACTTTATTGTTTAGTCTTTGTTTTCTCCTTATTAGTCACCTTCTTTCCCATAATCTATAGCTATGTTCAAGTCTCAAGCTTCGTCTCCAGCCTATTTCCACCCTGCTTTCCCATCAGTCTCTGCCCATTCCTTTTCTTTCTTTCCCTCACAGACATGCCCTGTGTAACTGTTCTGTTAACTACCTGTCCCCAGCCCCTCACATCCCTTTTATTCCACAGACACTGCTAAATGGCTCCCACCACTGTCTCCTGACTTGAGCGGGTCTCACAAAGGTCCATGTTGACCCCACTCATCTTCCTTTTGGGACCTGTATACTACCTATGTACTATGCCTCTCTGTCTTGAAGGTCCTTTCCTGGCTTCTGTGAATTCCTTTCTCCTATATAGCCTTGGTGTCTTTCTTCCATCTATTAAACAATTTTCCTTCTCAGGATCCATCATGACTGTTGCTTTTCTAACTTGTGTACCTCAAGGGTAAGTTAATTTCTCTCTGAAGGCATTTTACACTCAGTGATATACATAATTTACTTAAATCCATGTCTCCAGGTTGAATGTTTCTCATGTTCATTACCCACTAGTCATCCTTCTCCACCTTCTCTGTGTTCATACACACTGAGCCTATACGCATGTATCCTGTGCCTGTGGCATTGGCCATGGGATGCACCCTAATGGTCATAAGAGCAAATAAACATAGTATTACTGTGTATCAGACATGTTTTTTTCTTTTTTCTTTTTAAGAGACAGGGTCTTGCTCTGTTACCCAAACTGGAGTGCAGTGGCGTGATCATAGCTCACTCCAGCCCGGAATTCCTGGGCTCAAGGGATCCTCCTGCCTCAGCCTCCCTAGTAACTAGGACTACAGATGCATAGCACCTCACCTGGCTAATTGTTTAATATTTTTA